CTCATCATCCCTCTCACCTCCTCTAGTGTTTGCTGGATCCCTCACATAGAAAATCTGCTTTAGTGAGGATCAGAGAGTGAGAATGACAAGCCGTGTAGTGGTCCCTGCCAGGAGGGACTCATTTCCTCATCTAGACAGTCAGGGGTATGTGTGATGTGGTTTGCCTACTATCTGGGTACCCCCATTACCTACACGAAAAATCAATTAGGCCATTTCCTTTTAGGGGCCTTCACTTTGTGCACAAATTTGTTTCCAAGAATGAAGGTTCCAAGTATTCATTCTGGTTCTGACATCCTCAAAGGCAGCCGAGTTTCTTGTAGATGTTTCATTTTGAAGGACACTGTGCTTCCAACAGGAGGAAACCAATCTCGTGGCTGTTTCAGTTTCTGATTTTCTACTGAACCCTGACTTTTCTTTCCTCCAGCTCACTCAATCAGCTTCCATTTCCATCTCCACACATTGTTAAAGATAGTTTCAATGTGTCCCATTTCTGAGAAAAACATCTCCAACGAAATTTCCACCTTGGTTCCCAAAAGGCTTTGTTTGCTGATTAGGTCACAGAGGTCTCTGGAAGCTAAATCAGACATATTAGTGTTTGTGACTAAAGCTGTTTAGATCTATATCTCTGTATCTGTGATATCTGCTGCAAAGATGAGAATGAGTTTTAAATTGATCTTTAAGGTGTTGAACAACTATAACTATGTCCACTGAAACATTGTAGACATGTCTTCTGAACTTATCATGTCATAGGTTAGTCAACTTTCATATTTTCTCCATCCATATTTTTTTCTTTCAACCTGGTGCATGTACCCCAGCCAGAAAACTCACTTACACAGGATCAATATCCCTGGCGTTGAGCATTCTGTTGATGTGGGAAATGAGTTCTTGTGTATTAGGTATGCTTTACAATGTGTTGTCTTTGAACAAATGTTTTATTTTAAGTTTTTGAATCTGTTGTTGGAAGCATAGTCATTTACTGTCTACAGACAATGGAGAGCTTTGCAAAATATAATTAATTGAGGACATAAGTTCCATCAACAGTGCTGATGGGCTTTTGCAGGGTGGATTTGTCACCTTTGAAAGGGAGTGATCACATCTTGAGTACATCTAGGTCTCTGCATCTCCAAGTTGTGTTGCATGGGCTTGGCTCTGCAGGTTCCTGAACTACTTGGTGGCTGGGTACTGTTGTCAATGGATATAGTGGGTTGAATTGTGCTCCCAAAAAGATATGTCCACCTGGAAACTCAGAATGTGTAATAAGGGTTTCTGCAGACATAATTAAAATAAGAATCCTGAGATGAGATCATCCTAGATTTGGATTGATCATAATTCAATGGAGAGTCATTACAATGGAAGAGAAGGTGAAACAGACACCCAGGGAAGGCCAGGTGAAAGTGGAGGCAGAGATTGGGGTGATGTACCTATAAAGCCATGGAGCTCCAAGGAACCTGGGAGTTCCCAGAGCAAGGAAAGAAGCATGAAGCATGTTCTCTCTCAGAGCTCCCAAAGGAATCAGCTTTGCTGATACCTTGATTTCAGACTTCTGGCCTCTGGAACCAATAGGGAATAAATGTCTTTTGTTTTAAGTCACCAAGCTCATTATCAAGCTAATTAAGAAACTAACACAATGAAGGTCAAATGAAATATCTGCCATACAGTAAGGGGTTGTTACCTAAAACAGGGCTTGGCAAACCATGGTACCATGGGCTCCATCTGGTTGCTGCTTTTTTAAACAAAGTTTTACTATAATATGGTCACACTCATCCATCTATTTAGTATCCATGACTATTTTCATGCTACAACACAAGAGTTGAGAAGTTGTGGCAGAAACTATGAGGCCCACAGAGATGAATGTATTTACAATTGGGGGAGGGGTGCAAGTATAGGTTCCTTTAAAGACACATGGTAGAGTGGGAATTCTGTAGTGATTGCATTGGGCATTTTGAAGAAAATCTACTTTGAAAATCTGTGTGTTCATATTTTGAATTTGTTAAACAAGTTACATCTCTCCTATAGAAGTTGAGATATTGATTTCAAAAGGTTCAGCAAAAACAGCTGATCTATAGGATTTGTGTAGCCTCAAGGTAGATTGTTTAGTTCGACCTTTTTCTTTTGACTTCTTGGACTTAATGTGAATTGGAAGCATTATTAGGTTGGTAGGATTGAGTAAGCAATAAGCATACTCTCAGAATAAGGAAAAGAGTTATTTATCATTGTATTGAAGGTCCGTCTCTCCCACATAGTCCTGGCTGCTTCTTACTTGATTAGTAATGAGGATGCAATTGGATGGACTTTCTCTCTGGAGTGTCTGATGTTCCTCCAGCTTCTAAACCAGGGATGAACTAACTGAATTTAAGTAGCACACAATAGCTTATTTATTTATTTTAGCTTAGTACACAAAAAGGCATTATTCTATTGGTGAAGACATCATACCCAATGATGAGGCATATTTTTCTCCTGTTTTTACAAGTTTTCTAGGGAAATAAAGATTTAGAAATACAACCAACGGACATCTACTTGAACATTTCTGACTGGTTTTGAAAAAGATTCCTCTTATAAAAATTATTCATACTTCTTGAAAATTCACTTCAAGAGATTTATCCAAAGAAATAATCAAACATTTAATTCAAATATCTTCACCAGAGCACTGTTTATAACAAGTCAAAATTGCAAAGAACCTAAATTTGAAAAAAAAAACAGTGGAGAATTGACTTAAGAAGCTACAGTCCTTTCATAGTGTGAGTTTATCATAGAATATTTGTCATGGAAGATGTTCTTGATGTATTTTTATGTGAGAAAAAACAGAAAATACAACAGAATGTATGATGTAGAATAAGCATACATTCAGAGAAACAGGTGAAAGGCTTAGGAGTTTTAAAATACTTTGTTTTACTCTATTTTCTAGTAGTTTTTCAATGAATATTTTGTAATAATAAAAGTAAGTCATTTAAGCAAAATGAACATTCTGTCCTTTAAATACTTTTGTTTAGCGCTGGGAATTTTTGGTTGATATAAAAATCACTTTTCTTTTTTGTTAAAAATACACAGAAGAGCCAGGGCTGGGCCCAGGCCCAGGCCCAAGTCAGAAGCCAGGAAGTTAATCCAGGTCTCCTCCATGGCTGGCAGGAACCCAAATACTGGAGCCATGGCTGCTGCCTCCCAGGATCTGTATTAGCAGGAGGTTGGAGTCAGGAGCTAGAACCAGGCAGCAAACCTTGGTGCTCAGTGTGGGATGTGGACATCTTAACTGCGAGGCTAAAGGCTGCCCACCCTTTTCGTGTGTGTGTGTGTGTGTGTGTGTGTGTTTAAATCCTCTCTTGGTCAAACTGCGGCATTGCATTTTCCTAGAAAAAAAATTTACTTTCAAAATTTAATTTGTAGTAATCAGCCCCAGGCAGACAGCCTGCAATAAACTTGATGTCAATTTCACATCTTGGCAAAGTTTTTTAAGTGACTTAGAACAACTTTCTCTCCCTGCCATTCTCCTCAGTGTTTGTGTTGCCAAATTGTTTTCAGAAAATATAAGCCCTAACTATTACATTTGACCTCTAAAATTTTTGTTGTTTTCACTCAATTTAATAGGGCTACCTACTCTGTCTCTATCCCTCATCTGTGTTTTCCACATTGGCTGAGCCACCTGGATAAAAGATATTCTCTTGTAATGTGTTGAACAATTTCCCCAACAAGACTTTTTAAGTTCATTCAGGATATACTTGTAACTGTTAATTTTGTATTCCATTCTGTCTTGCCAAGTGTTGTACATAGTGAACCACATGGGCTTTACATTGAATTAAAGAGCCGCAGCCCTTTCAGATGCCACTATGGTTACCGAAGGTGGGGTCTTTTCATCCAGTTGTAGTTTTTAACCCCATTCAAGTTTTTGTTTGAAATTGCAGCCAGCCAGTAACAAGAACAGGATGTGTTTTGTGTTGTAGGTGCATGTGTGTGTTTGTGTGTGCATTAATGTGCTGAGACGTTTTTGATGTTGGAGCACAGATATTGAGAAAAATAATTCCTAGTACTGTTCTTTCACTCATTCAAAAAATACTTATTGAGTGTTGCTCTTGGTGCTGTCTGAAGCAACCAAAACTTCTGGTTTCTGTGGTACAAATACAAAGATGTGGAGGCAGAGAGAGCCAAGGGATAAACTGAAGTAATACAGACCCTGGTGCCTCTAACAACTCATTTACCCATCCAGCCATCCTCCTGTCCTCCTACCTACCCACCCATCCATCCACCCACCCATCATACATCCATTCACCCATCCCTTCAGTCACCCATCCATCAGTCCATCCATCCTACAAATACTGACTGAGCCTACTAAGTTCTTAATTCTGTTCTAGGCATTGGGGGCATAGCATGATTAAGACAGGCAAAATTATCTGATTTGTAGAAGGAAGAGCTTATAATATAGTGGGAGACACCGATAAACAAGGAGTAAGTCAATACTGTTTCCAGTGATGAAAGAAATGCTCTGAAGAAAAAATAATACAGGGTAAGGGGATAGAGGCCAATAGCAGCAGTCAGGAACGGCTTTATGAGGAGGTGACCTGAAGAGACTGGAACAGGTCAGAGGTGCAGGGGAAAGATTTGCATCAAGGGTCAAGCTGAGTTCTCATCTTAGTGTATAACTAAGTGAACCAAGGCCCTGAGCATCTCTCCCTCAGTGGTTTATTGATGAAATAAAATATGTGTTTAATTGTAACATTGAAGAATTATGTATCATTATTAATAATGTTAAGAGCTTGTTGCATTATTTGCATTTAGAAGATCCATGGAAAGATAGTGCTTTTGGTATTTGTTGCTAGTTCCAGGTTGTAGACAGCCAAGCCCAGTCTTTATATGTAGTTTACAAACCTCCAGGAGAAGACTTCAAAACACTCAGAATGAAATCCAAGTGAATGCACACTGTCTCTTCATTGCATGCATTGTGGGTGTTAGCGCATGCAAGTGTGTGCACATGTGTGTGCCATTCCAAATGGGACAGAGAAAACCAGCAGTGCTTTCCAATGCACAATAAAACAGTTTATTTAAAAAGAACGCATTCAGTACTGTGTTTGGCACGTGAGGCAATGAGGCAGGCACATTCACACTTAACAGGTACATTTGGGAGCTGTCAAAGCAAACCATTGCATTTTCTTCACAAACTACAATCACAATATACACACAATTACCTCTATGAAAAGATGATCGTCCTTGCTCACCAAGAAGGCAGAAGATATTTACATGTTCCTCAGTCCAGCAGTGCTGGCTTCTTTCCTCCCCATCTCGTTGGCCCTCAGAGTCTGGCAGCTTGTTTCCAACGGCAGGTGAGGCTGCCTCTCACAGGAGGTGAGTCTGATTCCTAAGGGCCTGGCTTCTTCCAAAGAGTGATGTATTTGGGAAAGAGTGAAGCCTTCAATACCAATGTCCTAGCATAAAATGACATTTCCAGAGCAAATACATTACATGAGCATGGGGAGGGTGCCACAGTAGTACACTATAAGAAGCACTGATTTTCCCTGACACATGCTTCTTGCTCGTTTCTTTAGTAACTTACATTCACTGTTCCCTCGCCTTTGGACCTTTTGGTTTCATCATTACTTTATAAAGAGCTTTGTTCCTCATTCTATGATGATGGAACATTCTTTAAAATAATGCTAACATGAAATGATGAAACCAAAGGAGGCTAAGTGAGAGAAGATATCATAAACATTCTTTTGTCTTGACTTCTAATTTATGCTTTCACAATGGATTGTCATTTTCCACCTAAAGAACAGAGGCAGCATGGTGTGGTATAGTACAATCAGTGGTTGGGAGACCTACACTCTGATTCTAGTTAGCTGGCTGGACAGAGAAGTCCCTGGACTCCCTCAAGTCAGTTATCGCTTCTCAACACTGAAGGTGCTGATCTGCACCTGAGATAATGTCTGGGTCTGTGAAGTTCTGCTGTGGACTTAGGTGACCACTCTATGTGAGTAAATGGTTGTGCCTTATGCATTGTGATTTTCCAGTAGGTTAGTTCTGTGTCCTGGGAGGACTTCATTGCTGATTTCTGTTGCTTGGTGATTGGGTCTTAGCCCAGCAATAAATCTCTCTTGGTCGTAAGTCTGCCTTTTCTGCATAGCATGGGCTCAGATCTGGATCTTGAAATGTTGTTAAAGAGCATTTCTAACAGGGACTCCAGTTGTTCTCAGTCTTGCAAAATGGCCCAGATTCTAGGTTTTAGAAGGAATCCTCCCCTTCCTTTATGCAAGTACTTCAGTGAGTTTAATCTACCTATGTATGCTGACCAAACCTCTCCCTCATCATCTATTGATTTTCTTTCCTCTCTCTCCAGCTAAAAATGTTATGGGAGTGGCTGGTTCTTCAAGGCTGTGTTTTGCGGTGAATTTATTCATAATAAAATTGGACCTACCTGTCAGTTCCCAGTGCTTGTAGCTATAGACTTCTGTCTGTGGTGCCAGATTTGTTCCCCAGGATACATGCAATTTGTTTGGAATAGAGAAAATCATCTGAACATGTACTTGACTCATTTAAAACAAAATATACCTTGCTCAAGATAGAGAAAACCCCATTTCCATTAAGAACAGAAAATAAAGGATATCCTGGCTTTTTAAACACAATATAGAAAATCAGTTTCAAACATTTATAGTCTAGAAATGCTTTAGACATTTTGTTGTTATAGATTTTATTGTAGGGAATTTTCTTATAGCCAGGAAACTATATTTGTTCCTTCATGATCTGATTGTAATTCACTATGTGCAGAACAAAAACTTATGGCCATTCACTGTGTACATTTTTTCCAATATTGCCTTCCAAAGAATCTAATTAAATGCTCCTAAGAATGACTTCCTCCAGAAAAATTTTAATTTGCAAATAATGCTTATTTGTGGATGACCAGGGTATCTGAATCCTGAACACTTGGTTCAGAAGGGCAGTTGCTCTACTGCTCAGTGCCAGAGGACTGAAGTGGCCTTATGTTTGTAGATTACTTTTTTAGGGTCCAGCTTTACATTAGCTTAGTTAAGGGCAAGGCATCATATGATGCCATTCAGTCCCTGAAGTTGCTCAGAGGTTTTTGGTGGTGGTTTTTGACAAGTAGGAACTAAATAAAGTCCAGTTGAGTGCATATGCAAACTCTGGGCACTATGCTATGGGCATGATGCTGAGGGTCCCCTGGTTGGATAGAGACTTTTGAACCAGGGAGTCTCTTGAGGTGTATGGGGCCAGGTAAGATGAATGAGTGTCTTGTTCATTCCCTGCTCCATTGCACACACTGTTTTATGGATGCCTGTGAATTCTGTGCTGTGCCATAAGGAAGAGGAATAAGTAGAAAGGGAAAATAGGTGATGGACTATGGAATACACACACAAAAAGGATCAGCCATGAGTGGTTTCAACTGGCAGTTAATGAATGTTTCCCTTAGGAATCAGAAAACCCATGGTTGATTAACTCCTAAGGTATTGAGGAGTCTGTTGAGAGTTTAATAAGAGTCACATGGCTAGGGAATATTTTGAACTCCCTATGGCTTTAGCCTAGAGGATTTGATAATATGCAGTCTTACTAACAGTGAGTAAAACTGAACAAGGTGGAGGCGCCTCCCTGGAGAGAGGGTGCATTTGGAGGTCTCTCCAAAGCCACTGCTGACCTCTTCTATGTGGTACTTATGGACTCAGAAATAGTTCGGGCAGTGCTGTGCTGGAGCCAACTCATACTGGCTCTTGAAAATGTGTAGTTAAATTCTGAGCCGGTTGACAATCAGTTAGTAGCTTGAAATTTGCTATGATGAGAATATTTACACCATGGAAATTGATAAGTGCTACAAATCAGAGTTCTACAGTTCTGCAGAACCAGCTGTTGAACATTTAGCAGCACACCAAAAAGCTGAAACTGTTTCTGAATCACACAGAAAGGAGACCAAAGGAGCCCTTTGGTACCTCTGGCGATTAAAGGCTTTACATGTGCACAGCTACAGATAGAGGCTTGGCCAAAATTTCATTAGAGCAGTGGCACCTTATACAACAGGCTGGAACAAAGTGGCTAATAACAACTGATCACCCTTATTTTACTGTGTTGGCCTTAGAATTTAAGCCCCTTGAATTCCTTCCTTGATGGATTTCCTTTTAGCCTGTAGATCTTTGTATTTGAGGCTTTACTTGGAGGTTGAGAAATCAGATTCCTTGAGGAATATGTTAGGCTCTGAGAGTAACTGGCCAGGTGAATCTAAATGAATTGTTTAACTCCCTCTTTCTCAACCTACCATTCTCAATGCCCTTCTTAGTTGGAAAGATAAAGGGCTAGCCTTGGATAAAGTACGTTTGAACTGTGTGTCTCACCTAATATTCAGGCTTGCATCCACTCCGACTACATTGACAGTTACTGATTGCACATTGGTGATTGGTCAAGTCAGCCAAAACAGTGGGATGGCTGAGTTACTAAGACTGTGTCTACACTGCCATGTATCATGATCACTTCAAAGAACACCTGAAACTAGTGGTATGATGAGTCAGAAGCATTCAGCTCCTTTGGTAAAAATGGTAACTATCTGTGTGGCTCTGCTATGATATGGTTTCCAAATGCTGGCCAGGTCAGAATCAACTTGCAATCTTTGTAAGCTGAACTTATTCCAGGATATTATGAGTTAATGGTATGGAGTGAGAAGCAAGAATTCTATTTTGAATAGTTTCTCATTTCAAACCTTTCTTTGCTGTGGGATTAGCAGCAAAATTCAGAGCCTAACCTCAGAACCCCACTACAATATTAAAATGAGGTGAGTTATTCTGCAAGTCCAGAACCCCCCACCAATCTTAAATGAAGTGAATTGTTCTGCAACAGGCTCTTCCATGTGATTTCACTGTAATCAACAACAAGAGAATGAGCTGCACTGAGGATAAAAACATCTATTCAAACAACATTTCTTCAGTAATAAATCACATCACCATAAAAATACATTTCCAGAAATACTGCATAACACAATAATGACATTCTAAACTGTTTTCCATTTCAAATGTTGTAACCATCAGGGTGTGAGGGAGACACAATTAGCCATGCTAGTTCTTGGTATAACTCATCTGTGGCCTTGATTAATTGGGCCACAGAGTCCAGACTGGTTAATCAGTTGGCCAAGGTGCCTAGCCCAACAGCACAGAGCTCCATTGGGCTCTCCATCCAAATATGCACAGCCCCAATTCTAGAAGCAAAGACAGTTAAAGAAGCTAAACAGAAAGTTTTGTCCAGCGCATTCAAACAATAATGGGGAAAATGGATTAAAGGATCCAGAATTACACAAGAAATTACTCAATTTGTCATTTTGCACATGATGAGCCACCAAAGTCATTCATAATTTGTACATCTTCTTAGCATATTGAACTTAGCAAATGCAATAATTCAAAGGCTGCTGTTGAAACAATTTATACTACGGGAGGCATTTCTTAATCCAGTTGCAAATTATACATACAGGAAAGTACATAACCATTTTCAGCCTTCAATTTCTAAATTATGCATGCATATCACTGAAGCCAGGTTTTATGATGAATATTGTGTAAGATTTCAGCTGCCAATCTGAGCCATCAGTAACTAAACTGTGATTTATCAAATAATGATTGACCAAATGGATTTTCTTCTGGAGCCACGGAAGGTATCAGTGGATGGCTGTATTTTGAGGCAAGCATCTCCTTTAATGTTTTGCATTGAGAAATTTTTTGGGGGAGGGAGAGAATTTTTTCCTCCTCTACAGTCTGACTTACTTTAGGTGTCCTGTAAATCCCAGACCAAATCATTCTCCCTTTGAGCCTGTCTTCATTTGATACTGACAGGGCTGAGAAGAACTAGATGAGGAATCATGACTTCTCCACTAATTACCTATGCAATCTTGGGAAAGTCACCGAGCCTCTCTGTTTCTCCATTTTCTCATTTGTAAACTCAAGAATTAGGACAGGAGAACTTCAAAGTTCTTCAGTTCCCAGCATTTCACATTCTCCAGTGCTGGCCCAGCCTCATTTAGCCTCAGGGCAACACTGCTTTGTTCTCTGAGAGTGTGTAATAATCAGTGCCTTGCCCGAAGTCTGAAGAAATATTGTTCTGTTCCTCAGCTTCTCCAGAAAATTGGCACTCATGTCCATGAGTGACAGGTGGTCTGGGGGCCTCTTCCTTTGTGCATTCTTGCTGGTAGCCCCATGGTCAGATGCTTGATATCGAGGTCCCAGACAGATGGCACAGCAGTCACGATCAGCACTGCCAGGCACATGATGCCACTATACACACGGTTAAGGACACTTAAGACACAGACACAAAGGCGGAGGAACCATAGACTTCACAATCATCAAATACAGGGGAGAATTTTTTGGCTGTGAGAGGAATGACTGACAGCACTTTTTAACCTGGTTCTTCCCCTGGATCACATGACACTCAGAACAAGTGATGACAACCAAGGCTCTAGCATTATCAAGTTGCCAAATATTTGCCTTTTCCTCCATCTGCAATTTGATTGGTTTTGGTGTCAGATGTAGACAGCCTCGAGGGCTTTATGATGAAGTTTATCCCTATAGCTGAGGTTGGATTCTGCTGTGAGTATCCTAAACAGGGAAAAGGTTGACAGAAAGAGTTTGCTAAGCCTAGAACCAGCAAAGCGAGTCAGTGCAAAAGCCAGGGGGATAGATCTGTAGCTGAGTCAGGAAAGATGGCCCTAATAGTCCCTTCTGTCCAGCTCACTGCACTTAATTACACAAGCCTGGGAAGCACAGGAGGGCTGGCCAGTTCTGGTTACTTACACTGCTGTCTCCCTAATCAGGACACATGGGACCCACCAAGTCTTTTGGTTGTGAGAATGGTTATATAATGTCCAACTCTGAAGCAGTCTTTAAAAAGAGAAAGATTTTGGTATGATCATCCATTGGCCATTTTTCTCTATATGCTAGAACTGCCAGTCCAGGGCATAACTAACATTAAAAGCTGCCATACACTGAGTACCTACTATGTGCTGAAAGCTGGGGTCAATGCTTTACCCACAAACTGCAACTAAACTTTGCAATGGGGCAAATCAAGACTGTAAAGCAAGAACTTACGAGAATTGTGTTCATGAACCACTATAGAAGGGCTTGCAATTTTCTTCACAGTTTGTTTTTGTGTTTTGGTAACAAAGATCTTTTGGGGTCAGCTCTAGGAAATCCTGCCTAGAAGTGGGGATGAGCTGATCTTCAAGCCTTTCTATCTCTGGAGACAAGTCCATTTCCTCACTATTCTGAGTTTTTGTTAAAGCGATTGATGGAAAATCCCACTCCAGAAATAAGATGAAGCTAAGGGTGAACTTAATTAAAAAACAAACAATAAACATCGGCGTGTTGATGAGATCAAATTAAAAGAATCCACCCTGGAAAAATTAACTGGTTTTAGAAATTCTGGCATTTTGTTCTATAACCTTCTTGGTTCTTTTGCAATTCTACTTAGTAAAAACAAATGGGTACACTAGGATTAAGACTCCAGTGTCAGAATCAATCCCTGTGATCTTGGCATTAGTATCTCTAGGTTGTCACTAAATGAACTAAGTGCTAGGGAACAGCCAACTAGATACCTCCATCAGTTATTAGCCTCACAGCAATGCTTACAGAGCACAGCTCAAGAACAGTGGTGCTGTCCTCACGACAGTAGCACACATGGTGTGGTTTTGATGGCCATCAAATCATACCATTGGATTTAAAAATGATTTTACTGTTTACCCTTATAAATATTTCCAGTAATCAAGCTATTTTAGTTTTTCTCATTTTGAAACATCTACTCCTATTTCTTCCCATCTACTTGAACAACTGCTATTCACATAACATTGGAAGATGTGTCACAACTGACAACATTTGAACCCAAATGATTTCTCTCTCAGCAGCTAATATCTGCATCTACATAAGCTGTCCTGATTAGATAGCTTTTGGAAAAGGACAGCTTTGGGACCAGGCACGACATGAGCATCAGGACTGCATCTCTTCTCATTGTATTTGGTTTAATTTGGGGCATGCTTATACCTTCCCAAAGAGGGGCAGTGAGCTGATTCCTGAACTACAGCAATTATTTTTAATAGCATTTGTAACACTACAAGTGATCTAGATGAGATGTCTGTAAAAGAATGAGCTGCTCCACTCAAACATAAAATAAGTGTGCTTGACTGGCATTTGGAAGGAAGAATCAAGCACATTAAAATTTAACATCAACTTGTCTAGACTTTGAATTGAACTGTAAGGACAAAATGCTGCTCAGTAAAACTCAGGTATGGAAATGATGTGATTGCTACTTCTCCAGTTGAAATAATAAAAAGGAGAATGGCCAACTAGTCCCTTTATGGCAGGTCTACATAATCCCAAATTCCAAGAGTGCTTTAGCACCCAATCTTGCCGCTGCACAATAACTTCTCCTTTTGAAATGCTTAATTTGTAGGCATGTAGACCTGCCTTCAGTTGATGGAATATTGAGTGTCTACTCATACAGTAGTTTGAAGAAAACAAAGAGTTCTGGATTGGTGGTGGTGGACACAGTGATATTCAAAGGGACTTTACCTGGGCACTACTCAAACCTGGGGCCAGCCTGGTCAACCTCCAAGCTTCTCTTTCATTCTAATCCTGCTGGTTCTCAAAGCTCTGAATGGGCGACACAGTAACAATATGTTAAGGGATAGAGGATTCCATAATAAATTCTGAATATTCATATATTCATCTCCTATTCCTTTCTGTGTCCTAGTCTCTTAAGCTGACTCAGTGCTTCTATATTTAGAGAGAATGCCCAGCTGTCTTGGGCTGGGACTGTGGCAGGTACCAGACCAAGAGTAGAGCACCCTTACAGATATGGCAGTGGTGCTATTACCTGCCACAGTGTCAACTCATGTCAAGAGATGTGATGCCACACAGGCCATAGGCATTCTCTTGAGTGAAAGGTACACTGCCTTGCATGCTACCTGCCACAGAAGGCTCACTGTGCTGCAGAATGACTGTGTGGATTACTGAGGACTTCCTAAGAGTCATTTCTTATGAAAGTAATCATGAGAAGGTCCATTATGATGGTTCATGGTTTATCATGAAAACATTGAAGTTACCCAGAGCCTTGAACACATCAGGTCCAGATGCAACACAGACAAGCAAGGCTAATTCAACAGTATTCCTAACAAATTATTAAACTCCATAGTGCTGGGAGGCATGTGGAATAGCTGTAGGGAGAGAAGGGAGATGGTAGACAGGAGATAGAAAGTAAGAGATGAGATATGCAAACCAATTTTTTATGTTTCCATGTTGAAGAGTCTGATCCCACCAACAAAACTGAGATCTGCCCCAACTGGTCAGAGGCCTCTGATTCTGAGGACTGTGTCTGAGCAGAGCTACAAAAACTCTAGCTCCAGTCCTTATAAAAATGGGAGGCAGTTGATTATCAAAATACAAACATGAAAATACTCTAAACCATTTCATTAGCAGCATACTTTCAAATGCAACATTCCCTTTATCAATCAAGTTTAAATCATGTGGTTTCAATGCCATCTGTCCTTGCTAAATCTGCCAAGCCCCTTAAAAGAGCAGTGCAAGAGAGAGAGAGAAAGAGAGAGAGAGAAAATTATTTCCTCTCAAATGGCAGACTAGTCTTTGAGACATTCCCTAGGGTTCTATTCTGAAGACTATTCAACTTGACTTGGGGCACTTTTTAACAGCCATTTGGCACACTCCATTTGGAGTTCTTAGGCACAGTGTGACAGAGTCAGCTTGGTGAGCCCTTCCCCATGCATTCGGTACAGCAGCTGAAACTCAGCAGGCAGCTGGTGGGACTCCTGCCATTTGGTGGTAAATTTGGTTCCTTTTTTGTCATAGTAATGGTATGGAAGATCTTCCCTTGTGTTGGGGTCAAATCCAAAAGGCCAAAATCCATACAAGTGGATCTCTTCACATATTGCTGACGCAAGGGTGTACATTAGTATACCTGTGCTCAGCCGTTTGGGCGACAAATGCTTGTTTTTCCAGTACCTGTGGAACAATAAGTACATGTGGATTCAGAGGCCAGTGTTGAAGGTTTCAATCAGACAGGTCAGTCAGCCTGGGCTGGGAGGTGGGTTTGTCTAGACTGTTTCAAGTTTCATGGACAAACCCAGTTCCCAGCTCAGTCCTTTCCCCTTCCAGAAGAAATTTCAAAGTCCAGTCTGGGTTTTCATACTCTTTAAGGAGTGAGAATGACTCTGACCACCTTTTTGGTATAGTAGAACTGAAACTGATGATGAGGGGAATAAAATGATGAGATCAAAAGACCAAGGGACTGGCTGGCAGGAGACTTGGCTTATTATTCTCATCCTGATCATTCTGAACAGTGACTTTGGGTAAAAAAAAAAAACTCCTGCTACTAGTACCCCAATTGATTCATCTTCAAATTGTCTCTTTAAAAACGTGACCGCACATCCTGGGACAGTCCCAGTGCATGCATGTTTGTTATCCCTGTTGCAGCTTTCACCAGCACCCCTTTTCTCTCAAAGAAAAGATCCAGATTGGCCTATAAATCATGGCATCACTCCACCTTCCAGATATATCTGGACTATGATTCTTTCTTCAACTGAATAGATCTTAAATTTGGAAGACTTTGGAAAACTACAGGATGGAATAATCTGCTATGGGATAAAGAATTTCCCCAGGTACCAGATCTTCCAGAACCCAGTTTAACCTGTAATAATATATTGGACTCTACTAGAATGCTAGAGATGCAGACATCTTCAGAAACAAGAGTTGAGGCAATTTTTCCAGATGTTTTAAAGGAAAAAAATCCTACAATTAATCTTGCTTTATAAAATGCCCTGTATTAAGTGCCTCTCAGTTCTGGCTTCATGTTAGAATCATCTAAGGATTCATTAAAAAATACCAATCACCCAGTCCCCACCTCCCTTTCACTAGGACTACACAGAATCTCTTGAGGTAGAGCCCAAGCAGCAGTATTTTTTCAAGTTCTGTAAGTGATTCTCATCCACAGCTAGAGTTGAAAATCCCCAGACTAGATGGGAATATTGCATTTCTGCTCAACCTCGCTATCAAACCATAAGGTTTACAGCATTCATGAAATTCTTTCATGTGTTTTCCCCACAGAGACAGAATTATAAAGAAAAATTATAAATTTATGATTTATCTAGGTGGTTTATTACACTTGGGCATCAACAAAATACCTACATAACAAACAAAAGGGAACATTTTAAGTCAACTGCATCTTCCTTTAAAAAAAAACCATTTTAGTTGTCTAATGCAGCCATTGGCTTTATTGGGGTATAGTTATCCATTTAAAGAAAATTCTTGATTCATGGTGATTGCCATGACTGCTTGGTAGGCATATAAGGGGGTTTTGAAAAGTTCATGGAAAATGGAATTAAGAGATTTTGAAATCCATGCAGTTTTGTTTTCATAAAATGCATTTCTATGAACTTTTGGAAGACTTCTCATCCCATCAAGAGAGGGGACAGGGTGTCGAGGGGAAGTCTGATGAAACACCAATCACTCCATGTGGCCCTTGGTTACCAGCTGGGGGTGGACTGAACTTACCTAGAACAACACAGTCATTCATTACAAAGGATAAAGAGTTTGTCATACACTATTAAAATCACCACAACTAACTAACTGGAGGGCTCCCACCCCCAAGAGATTACAATATTGATTTGCCATCTGGTGGGGTAGGAGTTAAATGCAATAAAATATACACACCTGTTGACATGCTGCATTATATTTCCAGGCCAAGCCAACTGGACCTTTAACTGACCTCTGTGTTCAACAAAAAAGTCAACTAATGTTCTGGTCACAGTTGCTGAAGTGTGGAAGAAAAATGCAGGGATCCAAAGAATGGCCCCATCAAGCTTTTTTAAACTGAGGAAAAAGTTGTTACGGTCCTGAATGGTCAAGAGATTGTTGTAATATTTCTCCAGGATGCTGGGGTTGAAGGTGGTAAGGTTGGTTTTCCTTCCAACATCTCTTTGGAAAGCCTCCGTAGGGGCAAAATTGCAACGGAAAACAAAATCTGATTGATCTATTTCTTGTCCACATTGGCTCCCTGTCAGGATACCACTATTTCCAACCACAGCACAGATATTATAATGCTTATTCACAATGGGTGACACATCTGGAAGCAGTGAGCGGAAGTTATTGCTAATAGAGAAAACATATTTATGGCTGGAATAATCATAGTGCATCAGTTGTCCGATCCGAACACTATTCTTGGTCAAAGAAAAATTTTTTATTACATCGACATGCTGAAGAATTTCTTGCCTAAAATAAAAAGAAATTAATTAAATGCATTCCATTCAAGAGAATTGATTGTGCATCTTACAACTTACATGGCCATTTCATTCAGACAAGCATCTGGGGCACACTGAATCCCAAAAAGACTATACATTCATACGTGTGGCCTTCCAAGGGAGGACTGTCTAGGCAGTCACAGACATGGTCTCATCTTTCAGGTAAGCTGTGAATGTGACCCTTTGCGACCTGTAAATGCAACTCAGTTTTAGCTGCCATTTCTTTGTTTCTGCTCTACTTGGAGAGTGTATTTGATTTGGGGCAGAGACACAGGCCAAACCGAGTCAGAAAATACAAGGAGACAGACCATTTACGCAGGCCTCAAAGAGCTCACATTAACGCACACACATTGGTGACTGAGAGTCTGTAACTAGGGATGACTTGTTTGCTGTCGGTCTGAAGTGTTCGAGAGAGATCAAATATCACTGGTGTCTAAAGAAGAGCCAAGCAGATCTGAGTTGGTACATGACTATCTATTATTAAAATATGAAATGGTAATAGCAGTGGGTATATTTAACTACTTAATAGAAATGAGATGATAATCTTATTAAGGCCATTTAATAATGAAACAAGGATATTTTTCAACTTGGTTATATAGAAATAAAATTTAGTTGGAGAAATCTAACTCTTAGACAAAGAGGCTGCTGTAAATCATGAAAATATGTGAATATTCGGAGCATGCATGGGGCAAAAGTGACACTAAAACCTAACTTCAGATTGCTTTCATACTGAGCTTTAAGTAATGAAGTATCTCCTCTTAAAGTCTCTGCTATTTAAAATATTTGAGAGACCAGCAGCATTATACTTTGCTGCTAGATTTCCTGCTGCTAAGCAATCACATTGAGTCTCTTGTGTCTTTTGCCTAAAAATAGTAAGAGTGAAATAACATGCTTTGCACATCTTTAACTTTGGTTGGAATTTTATTTTAAAAAGAAAGACTTCACTCCTCAAGGTAGAGAGCAACATAATCTGAAATCTGCATTCCCAGCTTCCAAAGTTACCAGTACTGTTCTTAGAAGCTGGCAAAAGGCAAGACAAGTTCAAAGCAACACTAGTGGAAACTACTTAAAGGTTATCTGGTAAGTGGGCTGGAGGAAGGAGGTTTTGAGAAAAATACCCTTCTGATTCATCACAAGGGTTCTGTGTACTGTGGGAAGAACATCTTTACTGAATTAGAAAAATGTTTTTGGGAAAGGTATATAGTTTCCCACCCAGAAAGTTTCTGGGTTGTCTATTGGACAAAAACATTTCTTTTTAAAAAAGCCCAAAAATGCTTTTAAAAAGAGTATTACTAGCATTTTAGAATTAACTTTCATGGACTTCTTGCTAAAGAAACTTGTTTTTGTAATGTTGGTCATAATCATAGGACTGCATGTCAACTTTTTAAGTCAGTGACATTTTCCTGACATCATGGATATCCACTGAATTTGTTTTAATTCTGCCAATGGATTAAGACTTAGAGAGAGAGAGAGAGAGAGAGAAAGGGAGAGAGCGAGAGCATGAGCTGGAAAGGCACAACTCTCTAAAGAGACTGGTTTGTTAAATATGCCTTCACACCCCTCATGAATACACTAGATGGCTCACACTGCATTTAGCAGGGCGACAGTTCTGCCAAGGAGGAGGGAGTAAAGACAGCCCCACTCCTAAAAGCTGACCTGAATCAGTGAGAACTCATCCCTTCCCTCCCAAAACAACTACACCCAAGCAACAAGCAAAACAACTGCATGTAAAAATGAGGATACTGTGAATAATCAGAATGATGTTGGACAACTTCACAACAAGTTAAAAGCTATAAAGGGTTAACAAGCAAAATCAAAACAAAAATCATTGAAAAGTATACTTAGAAATCTATCTATTTGTGGGCCAACGTTTTCACTAGTAAATTGATGACAATGGATCACGTTATTTTGTGTGTGCTTCAATGAGATGGTAACATTTTATATTTCAAAAAAAAGATTTTTTTCAGTGAAGGAATGAAAATACATTGTGTAGTTACATGCATTTTGCAATTATTTGCCTTTTTTTTTCCCAAATGGATGGCTTTGGTACTATCAGCCAGACTTGTTGACTGCAACTCATGACATTCAATCAAGCCCAAGTTAGGGAGAATATTGGAAATGCCTTTTTTCCCCGCAAACTGGCCATCCTGATGCTTCTCTTTGATGAGAGGCCGCTACTCGCATCTGAGTTGTGACTCTGAGAACTGGGGCCCGCGCGGGAGGTGGGGGCATGTTGGTTGTTTTGGTTTTAGGGCGTTGTTTTGTCCTTTGAGCTCGAGAATTCAAACACGCGTTTGGATGGTTGCCTCCTATCCTACCTTTGATGTAAAAACGCTGTCCGATTAAAAGTCCACTTAGAAGGTTTCTCGTGGAGTTCCTGGGTGAGAGAATTCGTAATGGGCACAAACGACGGGTCTAGGAACTTCAGCGCAAACTGCGACCTGGAGGGGAGCAGGAGGAACACAGACCAACGCACACGGGCCTCAGCGCTGGAAGCCGCCCCGGGGCGCCCTCGGGAGGGCCACCCTGGACGCCCGCGGCCGGGGGGAAGGCTGGCAGCCAAGGGAGCCGTCTCCATTGTCAGCCTGCGGGTGCAGGAAAGGCCAGAAAATGGCCGTCGTGCGAGGGCAGGGGCGGGGGCCCGGCACGAGGCGCGGGGCCGAGTCAGCACCGCGGACAGCGGCCGCCCAGCGCCCATTGATTTTTGGGGAAAGGGCAGAGGAAGCCGGAGCCTCGGAGGAAGGCTGGGGTTGGTTCCTGCCTTAACCACTTCCTTCCCGGGCCAAGTCAGATTTCACTCCCCTCCGTTGGCTTTCTCGGCGGGCGCAGTCTGGGCCGGCGGGAGCGCAGGTGGCGTGGGTGCGGGCCGCCAGCCGCCAGCCGCTCGAGGCCCGATCGGGAGCGCGCCAGGGGCACAGGTAGGCGCCGGCGCTCCCGAGGAGTTGAGCCCGCGGCTCCCGGCGCCTCCCTCGTGCGGCCCCGCGCCCCGCGGCGCCTCCGTAGCGGGCCAGGGTGGGCGTCCAGAGGAGGCCGCTTCCCGCAGGGCCAGGGGACCTGCACAAATCGCAGAAAAGAGACGGGATCGAGGGAAAACACCAGGGCCTTGTGGAGGAGGAACCCGTGCATCCCTGGACGCTTGCGGGAGGGGCCGGAGAGGGTGCGAGTGGAGCCCGGCGCCTGCGCCATGAAAGCGCCCGCACCGCCCGGAGCCGGCCGCCGAGTCTGCGGACCCCGAGCCCGGAGGGCGCTCACCGCCCGCCTCGCCGCCCCCTCCCAAGTGCACCGCCTCTGTGAGTCCTCCCCCCATTTCTGAGATGGGGGAGGGGATGCCGAGGAAGAATACGAGAAAGGCAATCGCATCGATTAGCATCGCCGCTTTTAGGGGATTTCGGTTAAAAAATAAAGGGGAGGAGGAGGAGGGCGCAGCGGAGAGGGGAGGGAAGGGGGCAGGCAGTTCCCTCGCCCAGAGGGTCTCGGAGCCGCCGACCCTCGCCCTGCGCCCCGCACACCGCCGGCCGGGGGCCCGAGGGCGCTCGGACCGGGCCGCACTCACCGGAATCCCGCGTGGAACATGTACATTCGCGGCGCCCCCGGGCTGGCGTACTTGGGAGTGGTGAAGATGTTCTCCTTTTTCAGGGACACGTAGCTGATGAGCGACAGGATCAGCAGGGCCACGCTGAGCATGACCAGCCCCAGCACACTGGCCACCCGGGCCATTTTGCAGTTTCTCATCCCGGGCTGGGCGGGGATCAGGGCAGCCGGGCCGATGGGTCCATGGGGCGGCCGGCGGCTGGCCCGCGTGCCCGAGTGTGCGCGCGACTGTCCGCGCGCGCGGGGAGCGCGGGATGCGCGGCGGCGGCGGCGGGGGCGGCGGCCGGGGCCGGGCTCAGGGCGGGCCGGCGGCGCGCGGGACCCCCGGAGGCGGCGGCGGTCGCGGCGGCGAGCGGGCCGAGCCGGCGAGCAGGAAGATGGAGGGGCCGCGCGGCGACGCGGCGGGGAGCGCGCGGTGCGTTCCCGGCCCCCGGCTCAGGCTCCCCCGCGCGTTTCCAGAGAGGCTGCCATCTCCGCCGCCGCCTGCAAGATAAATGTGATTGGAATAATGTTACCGTTCGATCTAAGCACAGGATTTAATTAATGAACTCTAATCTCCCAAATAAGCGCGGGGGGGGGTGCGGGGGAGGCGGCGCGGGGAGGGGACCCGAGGCTGCCGCCGAGGAGGAGGCTGCGTGGAGACAGACGCCCGAACTTCGTTCCGTGGACCATTCATTACCTTATAAATATAGCGCAGAATAGGGAGATAAATAACCGGATCTGCTGCTCTGCAGGATAAACACCAGCTGGCTGCTTCGCAGAGATGCGGGGGGGAGTGTTTTTAGGGAGGCAAACGTTTAAAACTTCTCTTCTCCCCACCGAGGCACCACTCTGGGGCCAGCACCTGCCACAGCAAATGGGGCCTGGGCCTGCCCGCCTTGGGAGAGTTTAAATCCTCCTTGAATGTTCTAGAATGTGTCCCCATCTTCCTCCTACGCCCACCACATGCTTCCCTCATCCTTAAAAGGTGGGTATGCCTAGCAAGGTGAGCTGTGAGTGCAGAGGGACTGGTTGCCTTCTTCCTTGACCTTCTAGGGCCTGGCCCATGGCCACAGCAGGTGGACAGTGCTTTCTGATGGTTGGACCAGGCCTGGAGCATTTAGCCCTGATGGAACTTGCTATTGCCCAATCTTCAGACCCATCCCCGGGGCCAGGCCCACTGAATGGGCGGTTTGGCCCGAGAGCCCCGGAAGCTGCAGGCGCCACTCATCCCAATGGTTACAGATGCACACAACTCTGTTGAAGGAGCCCCAAACCAGGTAAGAGAGTCTGCCTCTTAGGGAGGTAGGGAAGCTCAGTGCTAGTGCTTTGCATTGCTTGGCCTTACATTTGTTCCAGCATCTTCACATGTTACCTGTTTTCATGTTCATTGGATATACAAATTAATTCATTTTGACTCATGCTTTCTGGTGACCCAGGGAAATACAAGTTCCTTCAGCTCTGTTCTTTGCAATCATCTCATGGCCTCTTCTACCCTAACCTTACACTTGACATGGTCAATAAGCAATAATGAAAAGAAGCTGGAGGGGAGAATTGGCCTTCGAGAACTTTTCTAATCAAGCAAGTTGAGGTTTTTCCACGGGAGTTTATAATTTCTTTGTCTGCCAAGCTTCTTGCCTTATGGACTTTGGTGGAACTGGTGTCGGGGTCTGTGTGGGGGCTGTCAGCTCCTGGCTGCGTTGAGCTCCTGGGCTGTAAGCTCCTGCAGAGCAATGGCCCTGCCTTTCTCCAGTCCTGACTCACATGGTGGGGGGGGGTCTTGCTGAGTGTTTTGGGGCCACCTGCACTCCTCTGCGAGGACCTGTTTGGTTGTGGACAGCGGCACTCAGAAGGTTTCTGTTTCCAGTGACAAAGGGGGTTGCCTTGTGCCCATTAAGGATAGTGCTGGGATTTAACCCCCAAAGTCTTACATTAATGATATTAAGAGAGTGGAAACCTAATCTTACTTTGCTGTTTAGAGATGAGGACTTTGGAGTGTCATTGAATACAATGTGATCATTAAGTCGGAGCCCCCATGATTGAGGCTGCTGAAATATACATGTGTTCCTGCCAGGACGTGACACAGCTTAGGGGGCCCTGGCAAGAGCTTGTGTCATGCTCTTTGAACTTTGAACCCCAGAACCATGAACCAAAACAGACTTCTTTTCTTTATAAAGAAGCCCAGCTACTTTATTTACTTTATAAAGATAATACAGACTTTTATTCCAAAAAAATCTAAAATTGTAAGTGAAGAAGACAAAATTAATCTTTTTGGGCTGGTCTTACAGTGCAGTGGGTTAAGCCACTACCTGTGACATCAGCAAGCCACACTAGACTTCCAGCTGATGTCCTGGCTGCTCCACTTCCAATCCAACTTCCTGCTGAGGTGCCTGGGAAGGCGGAAGATGATGGCCCAAGTACTTGGGGCCCTGCCACCCACATAGGAGACTGGGATAGAGTTCCTGGTTCCTACTTTGTCCTGGCCCAGCCCTAGGAAGTGAACCAGCAGGTAGAAGATCTGTGTGCGTGTGTGTTTCTTCCTCTCTCTCTTGTCCTGCTTTTCAAATAGGTAAAAATCTTTTTTAAAAAAGAAGTAATCTTTTCCTCTGTGGAACTTTTTTATTATGGAAAAAACTTCGTAGAAGTCTTACATGCCTGAATGTGGTGCATATTTGAAACAGCTTTTGAATAATTACTATACTTTCTTTTAAAAAATTGCATGAATATAGTTTGAAATGCCCAAAAGAGTAAGATTTTTTGGGAGCTACATAGAAATAACACATGCTGGAGATCCCTTTTTGAACAGGAAGTCTGGGTTGTGTGCAGTGGAGAGTCAGCTCCGGGCAGGAGCCATGACTTCTGGCTCTGTTGCTGGCACACTTCAGTACCTTACCATGGCATCTGCAAGCTCTGTGGCCTTGAGTATGTTTCATCAGCTGCATATCTCAGACTTCTTCGCAAGATCTGTCTACAAGCTTCCTAGGGCTTGGGGACATAAAACAAAGCCTGCAAAAGTGTCTACATCTTAGCTTCTATCAAGCTGTGAGTATGAACTAAACAGCTTGGGCCAGTTTTTTTGTGTGTGGCTTTGATCCCATAAGTGTCTCGCTACAGAATGCATAGAAAGGATGTAGTTGGGGGGGCATTTTCAACATGGAATGGCAAAGAGAAAGGAACTCTAGTTCCCTTTCAAGTAAGGCATGGCAGGCTTTCCTGGGACATCTGGGCTGGGTTCACTCTGCCTGTATTTAAACCTGAGGTGTTCCTTACACTCAGCACACCTTTGTGAACCTTCTAAAGTGAGTTCTAGTAGGCCGATTCCTGCATTGCATTGGGTTACTGAGGGTCACATGGTATAAAGGGACCAAATTAGCCAGAAGGTAAGCAGGCAGTGGGGGCATCGTTACTCATGTGCCAGATTCATGGGTGAAAATGGGTTGCTCGGTGATCACCAGAGAAATAATCCTGGTGGGGGTGCACCTGCAGCTACTGGATAAGAGATATTTCAGGCCTGGAACTGTGACCTTTTAATAAATTCAAAAATTATTCATTTTTAAGTAACAGAATATTGTTTATTAAGCTCTTTTGGAAGTCAGCCCTATGTGGGAATATGGGAAGCTGAGAATGCGAGGTTCAGAAATGAAGAACCTCTGGATTTAATGTGGTCTGTGAGTGTTATTTGGGACATAAGCACTCATTGCCAAGCGTGCTCCCCTTGTGCAAACATGACTGCCTCACCCTGGGTCCCCTCACCAATTCCTGCCTACCAGGTCGTTTCCAGGCACCACGTGGATGGGAAGGCTGGTGTCTCTGGTTAGAAACCACATCATCCATCCATTCATTTCTGTTTTCTTTATCATCCATTAAATAAAATGTGTTGGTTATCAGATACCCTGCTGGGCAGACATGGGTTATAAAATCATCTCAGTCTCACAATGCTTGTGGTCTTGGTGGGGAGAGAAGGAGGTAAACATGGAAGTGCTATGGGAAAAGCTCAGCAACGGAGCACGGATGAGAGAACTGGGTCAGAGCTTGCTCTGTGGAGGGTTGGCAGGGTTCTTCACCAGGCAGTGTTTGCCCTGGGTCTGAAAGTCTGCGTGGGACTCATTAGATCAAAAAGGCAAAAAGACATGCCAGGGAGAGGGATGGCTAAGAGGCAGGGAAAATTAGGTAGGTTTGGGAAACAGCAAGATGTATGAGGTGACTGCCCACAAAGAAGGACCTAGAAGGGGAGTTGAGGCCAGGTTGAGAAGAGACTACAGGAGACACTAAGGAGTTGGCAGCACTGCTCAGAGCCACCCAGCTTGTACAGAGGAATAACTCCATCTGCGTTGCACAAAATGGGTGGAAAAGCAGCTGGAACTCATCCGTGGGCAGGAGAGGCATTGGCTGCTCATGCAAGTGTCAGCTGATTTGTCGGGTGGCCTCCATCCTGTCCACCCCTGCAGGCCCTGGTATGTTTAATTTATCAGTGAGCCAATCACTTTTTCTGCTATGAGACACTTCTGAATCAACCATCATGGAACTGATTTCAGGAGGGTGAGTGACCTTTCCCAGGCCACATGGAGACCATGGGAGCTCGAGGAGAGGCCGCTGGGTGACTGCTCTGAGGCCACATGGAATTGGAGGTCTTTCTGTCTTTCTGCTTGTGCTGGCATGACATCTTAGTTTGTTTGTTTGTTTGTTTCTTTCTTTTTTTTTTTTGCCTATAGTGGACATTTAATTCTCATCATAATTGAATTTGTAAGAGCAATTTATCTTTTCCTATTTTCTTTTCTTTTTAAACTTTTATTTAGTAAATATAAATTTCCAAAGTACAGTTTATGGATTACAATGGCTTTTCCCCCCCATAACTTCCCTCCCACCTGCACCCCTCCCATCTCCCGCTCCCTCTCCCCTTCCATTCACATCAAGATTCATTTTCAATTATCTTTATATATAGAATATCGATTTAGTATATATTAAGTAAAGATTTTTTCAGTTTTCACCCACACAGAACATAAAGTGTAAAATACTGTTTCAGTACTAGTTATAGCATTAATTCACATTGGACAACACATTAAGGACAGAGATCCCAGATAAGGAGTAAGTACACAGTGACTCCTGTTGTTGACTTCTCTGACTTCGATCTTATTTAGACAATGTCATAGTCAAAGTGGAAGTTCTCTCCTCCCTTCAGAGAAAGGTACTTCCTTCTTTGATGGCCCATTCTTTCTACTGGGATCTCACTTGCAGAGATCTTTCATTTAGGTTTGGTGTTTGTTGTTGTTGTTGTCTCTTTTTATTTCT